CCACGCTCGCCGCTCCGTTAGCCTGATGATGTGATGACGGAATGCGTGGCATGAAGTTGTATGGCGAAATATGTGAAATGTACGAACTGCTGGGCTTTTACCAGTGCGAACGATTTCCAGTGTGGTGCAGCTGAGGAGCGCATTCCACGATGATTGAAATACGATTACACGTGCAGGTGCGGCTGTTCATGACGTCACGTCGCCACGACTTCATGGCTAATAGTTCTGAAGTTTTTAGCTTTTACTGCATCACCTGTTGCTCTTCATGGCCGGGCGTCTCAGAGCTGGACACGACATCGTCCGAGCAAGGCCATGTGGTGCTGCCAGCGATATTTGGCACCATCTGCCATGTCCCACATCACTGCTCCGTCCCTTCAAGATGACACGCCTCCCTTCGTGGGTTCTTCGTTGCGCTATATTTGGCCACAGTTTAAGCAATGCGCCGGCGTTGGCGGCGACCCACTCCGGCCGCCCCGCTCCAGCCGGCGCGAAGCGACGCGCCTCGAGCGCCGATTGAGGTCAGACGTGACGTCACGGCGCCGACCGACTGCCGGGGGCGACGCGCGCGACCCGTCGCAGGGGCGCGACGCTGCGCCGGCGGGCCCAGCGGGGCCGCTACCACGCCGCTGAGTGCTGTCCGGGCACTGCCGGCCCTGGCAGCGCGCGTGGACGTTACGCGCAATACACCGGCACCGGGGTTTAGGGGCGTCGCCTGCTAGGGTTACCGACGCCCATGCCTAGCATACAAAATGAGGTTACGGGTTAAAGATCACACAAACGTGTCACGAATATCACTGCTGGGCCACGACGGCCGGCTAATGCCAGCAGCCCCGAGACTGCATCCAACGATGAACACCCGCCTCAACGCGCATGGCACGGCGCTGGGGAGCGTGTTCAGCGTGTCCACCGATCTGTCACGCGTCCCCAGTAAGCGCCCGACCGGGCACCGCGGCTCGCGCGGCGGCAGAACACGGGCGATAGTATCACACCGACATCGCGTCGGCAACGGGTCAAACGCCGCCAGCGCTAGTCGACTCGGTGATCTGGCCCTCCCGACGCCGACACTGACGTTCCACGTCCACGTCCGGTCACATCCACGTCCCACGTCCGGTTACGTCCACGTCCCACGTCCGGTCACGTCCACGTCCCACGTCCGGTCACGTCCCACGTCCGGTCACGTCCACGTCCCACGTCCGGTCACGTGCACGTCCCTCGTCCGTTCACGTGCACGTCCCACGTCCGGTCACGTCCACGTCCCACGTCCGGTCACTGCCGCGGCGGCAGCCCCGTCCTGCGTCACAGAACCCGGTGGCGGCAGCGCGGCAGGCAACAGCAAAGCCCAGCTGTGCCGACACGCGTTCGCGACGCGCCAGCTGACCGCGCAGCGTGCCGGCCCGCGGGCGACAGCTGAGCGGGCCGGTCACGGACGCTGGCGGGCCCCGGTGTGGACGAGTATGGCACTGGCAAGAAGCGCTCGCGTAGGCGCCGTCACAGCGACAGATCTAGCATGTTATCACGATACGGCCGGGCGACCACAGCGTCGCCGAGTCGCTGAGTTTTAGATTCCCAGTACTGGGGGGGCGACGTGGCGACCTCCGCCCCCCCCCCCCCCCCTCCGCACTCTGCACCGCTGCAGAACAAGCGACGGCGCCTTTCAAGCACCCGGCACCACCCTCAGATCGGCCTGAGCTCGGTCGGCGGCGGCCCGGCGGCCCGGCGGCCCGGCGGTTCCACGACCCGGGGACGGAGCGTTACTCCAGCATCAGCTTCCAGCCGAGCTCGTTGAAGGAGGCGGCCAGCCAGAGATCCGCCGACTGGGTGCGCCAGTCGTACACCACCTGCCGCACGAGGAGGACCGTCTGAGGAACATCACCTGGACCGGGGGTCGGCGCACACGGCGCCGGTACGGCATGGGGAGCTGAAGACAGCTAGAGCTGCGGCACGGTCTACACAATGTGCCCATAGTGGGAGGGTAGCATAACTTAACCTGCGGCACAGAAATTTGACAGTAACAGCAGAACCAAACAGCGGCCTCCCTTCACCTGACCTGCGGCACACAGACGACCTGAAGATCATGACCTGACATGCGACACAAAAATCTACCCGCACATGGGGGGGGGGGGGGCGGGCCTGATGGCCCCATGCTATGACTTGCAGCAACGGTACGCCCAACGACAGTGTACCGAGCTGTAGCCTCCCAGACCAATGGTTGCACCTGTAACTTTAGCAGTGACGTCACCAACGTAATCGTTTCACGGGTCCGCTACGGAGCACAAGTCGCAGTGACCCGAGCAATGACGAATACAAGCCGGCATCAGTTCTGCCAGGTGTGTTCACTTGTCTTACAAGTGGTATCACTACGAAGTCAGCATCAGTTCGACCTGGACTTGCCCATTCTTAATCGCTTAACATCATATTTCGCTAACAAATCGGCACGACGCAAGACATTGCAAAAACAGACATATGTTGCCCTGGAATAATTTCAAGGCACTTTTGTAATAAAGCGTGCAGAGCCAAGATACGCGCGTTCCACGTGACTGGTAGCTGACGTTTCATGCATTTGAATTTACGGCGGGCAAACGAGGAGCAGTTTAGGAGCAAACCATCAGTCCAGACCAAGCCAGAAGCCTTCGAATGCCATTCACATTTAAGTGATAACCGCTGGGTAGGGAAGATTCACGCAGGGACCAGCCGGTAAAAGGCTGCCAGGCTCTTGCCACACCTTAAAAACCGACCAGCCATCGCAGTCAGTCGAAAAAGGCACACCTGCAGCCAAGTTCGTGACTAAATTGCGCAGCTCTCAGACCTGACGGCGAAAATCAAAATCGACCGTCGCCTTTCCGCTCGTCTGAGCCAGCTACACGCCTTAAGCGTCCCTGCACCCGGTCGCATTCGAGCGAGGCCATGTCCAAACAAGCAGATGGCTGTAACACCAGCCCGCCACGAAAAGCGGCCTCACCTTTCACATAACTCTTTGACTCGGGCGGTGGGGCGTTTGTGTGCTCTTTTCCCGTCAACACAAATGGCCAGACCGGCGCCGACAATCGGCAAACACGGCCGTTTGCACCCGCTTGGCCGGCGTGACGACCGCTGGGGGCGAGCACTCTGACCCCAGCTGACCCCAGCTGACCCCAGCCGGCCGTGAGCTCACTCGTGGCGGGGCCGCCCGCGAGAGGAGGGTCCACGAGCGGCGAGGAATCAAGACCGAGGACAGACGGTGGCGGAAGACCGAGCGCGGAGGCAGACGGAGCGCAGAGGCAGACAGAGCGCGGAAGACAGAGCGCGGAGGCAGACGGAGCGCAGAGGCAGGCAGAGCGCGGAGGCAGACAGAGCGCGGAAGACAGAGCGCGGAGGCAGACGGAGCGCAGAGGCAGACAGAGCGCGGAGGCAGACGGAGCGTAGAGCCAGACAGAGCGCGGAGGCAGACGGAGCGTAGAGGCAGACAGAGCACGGAAGAAGACAGAGTGTGCGGACAGACATCGCACAAAGTGCGAGGAAGACGGTCATCTCTCAACAGCGCCAGCACCTGCTGCCCTCCGGCAGTGTGGCACCGGAGTCATGTCCGGGCCGCTGTTCCGGCCCCTGGCCCTGCTCTCAGTCGTGCTGGGTGCTCTGCCCGTCTCCAACATGATCAGCAGACGCGCACCGCCTCGCCACCGCTTTCTCAGCGGGCCCAGCCTGATGGCGCTGGCGCAGGCGGTCGGGTTCGCCGCCTACTCCGGCTTTTGTCTGTACCTCATCATCGAAGACCTGCGGCGAAGCGTGACGGGGAACAGCCCTCTGCTTGCCGTCTTCCTGCAAGCATTTGTCGTCGTACCTCTCAACGTCATTGGCATCGCCAACTTCTTGAAGGGCGACAGGATCGCAGCACTGCTGGCAGCCTTCGAAAGTTCCAGCGACGGCGTCAAGATGAAGGGAAACACGTTCAGGGTCACCGCCCTCGCTGCCGCCATCACCGTGCTGGATTGGATCGCCTCGTTCCAGGGCATCTGGACGTCTGATCCAAGCCTTATATTCCTGATTTCCACCGGCACATATTTCGGCGTGTTCCGAAACCTTCTGCTCTGGCAAATCCTATCGCTGATGGTGGCTATCACGGACGCGTTTGAGCCTATTGCGCGGGATGTCGAGCTCCTGGCCGCCGCCAAGCCTTCCGCTGACGCCAGCGCACCGGCGCGGCTGGAGAGGAAGCTGTTTGTCGTCGGCAGCTCACGCGACGGTCAGAGGGCGAACACGCGCGGCGCCGCACCGAACGACCTTGACCTCAGCCCGGGGCCAACGTCTCCCAGAAGGCGCATTGACACCATTCGTCGCAAGCACGCGGCGGCCGCCCGCATCGTTAACCTGTTCAACGGCGCGTACGGGGTGCAGCTGCTCGCGCTCAATCTGTTCACCTTCGGGTACGCCATGCAGGGCATAACGCACTACATCTCCTCGCCGCCCTCCGCGAGAAGCACATCACTCCCGTTCACAGTCGCCAACGTGGTCGCCGCCCTCACCAAGGCCGCCGCCGTCTGCACGGCGGGTCAGAAGGTGACCGCCGCCGCACAGCGACCTCTGACCCTGCTGACTCAGCACGTGACCTCCGACCCGGCCACGCAGCTGGACGCGCTGCAGGCCGTGCAGCAGCTGCAGGCCGCCGACAGCCACGTCAGCGCGGCCGGCTTCTTCTCCATCAACCGCGGCACGCTGCTGCCGCTGGCGGCGGCCTTCGTCACGTACGGCGTCATCCTGGTGCAGATGAACGACTGGAGAGCGGTCAGCCGGGACGGGTCCTAGATCCGCCGCCCCGGGCGCCGGCGGGTCGCCCGAAGGGGAGCGCCGGCCGGCCGCGCCCCGCACGGCGGCGCTGCTCTGCGCCGGCGCTGGCTGTCGGAGAGGCGCGACAGCTCTGGTGGACCATCGAGGTGGCATTGGTCGCTGCGGCTGGTGCCACCGAGGCGGCTGAGGTGTCGCTGGTGAGCTGCCGGCGGTGACTGCCATGCCAGTGTGACTGGGAACTAGGACTGGTAAACCACCACGGTCACCAGTGGTGACTGCGGTGGTTTGGTGACCGGCGCGTGTCATCCGTGTTACCCACATACTCTCTGTTGACCCATGCTAACCGTATCAACTCGTGTTATCCGCTGTTGGACCACGTTACATGGCGTCATCTAAGGCCACCAAATCATCATGCTTAGCCTGAGGCCAGTCTAGCGATCGCTTGCAAGGGGAAGTAAAAGGGGAGTAAAGCGGAAAAGTAGTAAAGTAGAGTAAAACAAGTTATCTCCCGAAGCGGGGATGGAAACAGTGACTGGTGATCGCTTCGTCTTGTCCTCGCTCAACTGCATTATGAGCGTGAGCTCATGTTCTTCGTGCTACCCCGTGGTATTCATCCTTAGCCCAGGGCACGCCTTCACAGCGTCTTGCACGTAAATGGGCATAAATAATAAAGCACCGTAATAAACACACGAATACAACAATCGTGGGTATGAGCATATAAGCACGATTTTGAGTCCAAACGAGCACATCGGTTGATCGCACGGAGAAACACAGTTAGCCGACGCAATAACAGGTCCGACTGCATCAACCAGAGTCCATTTCCTTTGGATAAAAGCCCAAAGCAGTCGCACGCTTTCCGACTGCGCGTAGCGGACCGTTTGAGACGAAGCCATGGAACTCGGTCAGTTCCCTAGCCATTTCGTGCACAGGCACATTGAAATATTTCAAGAACTCGGCATAGGCCGCCGTTACCCTCGAAAGGGCTTAAGCGCATACTGGAGGACTCCCGTGGAAGTTCGCAAGTCTAGAGCACAGCAAAATAGACATCGCATATTTCAACGTTGCAGCCTTGATTTCCTCGAAGAGAAGTCTTCGGACAGTGTATGGGATCATATATGGATGCATGGGGAGGACATTACTGAATCCCGGTCCCACAAGGCGTACCAACGTTTTTTTCCGGATTTACTGACGGCTACGGATGTTTGCAAGAGTATATATAATAATTAACTCCCGCTGCAGTAGGTCACAATGCATGCCATATCAGTCAGCATCATGGTTAGAACACCACATACCGTTGCGCTGCAAAATCATGTAAGATTGGTTTGTGTAGTTACCTGGGCCTGGTTTCATAAAACGAAACTACCGACTTGCACAATGCTGAGTCGCGTCACGTAAGCATAAGAGCCGGAAATCATCCGACTCTTTTTGAGCTCCCGTTGATAGATCGGACAGATCAGTCGCACATTATTTTTGGTCTTTGAGTCAATACGACACAAATCCAAAGAACGCAGATTCGTATTTTTGTTTTACGACACCAGGCGCTGGTTTCGGATGCCCCCCCCCCCCCCCCCCCCCTCCTGACCTGCTTGTCGTCCGTCTCAAGGAAGACCCGCGTCGTGTCGTTGTCGCGCCTCTCCGTGGTGAAGGTGATCTGAGAGCCGGCCCGCAGCGGCGGCAGGCGCATCTGACGCCGCCTCCCGTCCACATACACCTCTCCTGCGTCACAGTTACACCCAAACAGGGCGTCAGGAACATCTGATGCCGCCTCCCGTCCACATACACCTCTCCTGCGTCACAGTTACACCCAAACAGGGCGTCAGGAACATCTGACACCGCCTACCGCACACGTACACATTTCATTCCAGTCATGAGCACCCCTGTTAAGCACATGAGCACCCCAGTTACACCCTGAAAAGCGTCAAATGCACCTGACGTCACCGAACGTCCATGAAACTCCAACCCACACAGGCTAGTTACACCCTCGTCGGGTGTCAGGCACATCTGACGCCGACCCCGTCTACACGCACTTTCCTTGCCGGCGCAATCGCACCCATGGGGTGTCGACGCACACCTGTGGCGGCCACAGGGTCACAGATACACCCAAACAAGGAGTCGGACCCGTCCGACGCTATTGATGCCGTCCACGCATCGCCCCTCCCACAGCAGCACGTCTCAGGTCACAGCTTCCTTGTAATCACTAACGGTCACGCACTAGGTAGAGGTGGACTGCGCAGCTTCCTTGTAATCACTAACGGTCACGCACTAGGTAGAGGTGGACTGAGTCTGCTGACTTATGTACCGATTATTTTTCTTGTGTTGACTATGTTTTTGCCAGTTATATATTTGGAAGAAAAAAGCAGCACAGCCGTACACAATGCCGGCTAACGAGCAGCACTAAGGCCCTGAGACAACACAGCCAGCACAGCCGTGACCAGACAACGCCGCTGCGGCGGCCGGAGGAGGCTCCGTCGGCCGCTCTCGCCGCCCTGCCGACCGGCGGCGTTCTCTCACCCGTGGCGCTGACGAAGAGGGCGCCGGGCGCGGCGAGCGGGCCGTCCGGGAGCCGCTCCGGGCCGCCGTCGAGCAGCGCCAGGCCCTCGTCGCTGCAGCCGGCGCCGGCCGCCAGCACGGCCACGCGCAGCGCGGCCGCCGGCCGCAGCTGGGCGCCGGCTGAGCAGAGCAGCGGCGGGCCGGTGCCGGCGCCCGAGCGGCACGCGATGCGGCCCGCGTCCGACAGCGTGTACTCCGGGCTGGGCGACCACTCTGCCAGGGAGGGGCACGCTGTGAGGACGCGGGGAGCACCCGGGGAGGCATGGGAGGACACTGGCGGCACGGCGCAGTGACAGGTGACAGGGCTCTGTGGGCGCGCGGAGAAGGCTAGATAGTGACGGAACACTGGCGCCGCGGTGTGGTGACGCGTGGGCGAGCTCAACGGCTTTGGTGAACGACTCTGGTGAACGGCTGTGGTGAACAACTCTGGTGAACCACAGACACCACACAGCGGAAACCACTCTGGAACGAGGGACCATCTTGGGATGCGAGAGACCAGTCTCTGGGCACACGACACCTCTGCAAGGAGTTAACGATATCACCGCGGTAAACGGGACACGTGTTTGCAGATGGGGCACACGGCGATGTAAATGCAACGCACGATCAGTGATGCAATCATTGCCACACGGATGTACTCACAAGATACACACGCACACACACACACGCGTTGAATGAGCCGAAATACCAGCGGACCACAGATAGCGACCGCGAGCGGCACAAGAGCGCGCTGAGTCCGATATCCCCTCCCCCCGCCCCCGACCAGACCGGACCATAAACCGCACCCATCCGCGGCGCGACCCCGCTGACTCAGGCCCACCCCCTATCGTCACCAAACCCTCCCCGTCCCCAAACACGGCCGCGGGCGCGGACGCGTCCGGCGGACCGTACCGTAGTGCGGCAGGCCGGTGTCGCCCGTGACGGGCCGGCTCCAGCCGCCCCAGGCGCCGTCCGGCGCCGCCCGCCGGCTCACGCGGAAACTGTAGGTGACGTCACAGTGCAGCCGGCGGACCAGCGCGCTGGTGTCGGGCCCTGCGGCGAACAAGGCCCGGGGGGGGGGGGGGCGTCACTGGCAGCGGCAGCGGCCTTGCAGAGGTATCAGTAGTATGTCGAAGTGCACAGTGCGGTACGTGTGCGGGTGCAAGCATCTCATGCACAGTACAGGAAAGTCCCGTGATATTTTGTGGATACTATGGGATGCGCTTTGAAACTAACGCGAGATTATATCTACAAGGAATACCCAGCTGCGTGAGTGTCGGCATCACCACACGCTCCGCACACAAAAGCAAGTCGGTGGTACGTCCGAGATACACCGAGTCTGCACTCCCAACCCGACCCTGAATATGACGATATCAGGACAATATAACTCCATAACCATATCAAGACAGCCAAAAAGGGAAGCAGGTTCTCTGCTGGAGCTGTTCGGCGGTAACACAACAGTGATGTCACATGTAAGGCTGGAGGGGAGGGGGGGGGGCGACTTAGAAGTCAGTCGGCGCGCAGGGTGACCGCAGCGGGTTTGAATCCAATGGCGGCTCTAGCGTTTGCTGCGTGGAACACGCCGCTCGCTGGCTAATGTTCGTCATCATGACCATCATGTCATTTCTGGATCGAATCAATAAGTAAAGCAACACATTGGTGACAAGCCTGATGCATCATCAGGAATGTACCTAGATGCACCAACTGGCCTACAGCCATATGCACCAACTGGCCTATAGCCATATACAACAACTGGCCTACAGCCATATACGATGACTGGCCTTTAGCCATATACAACAACTGGCAAATGGCCAGATGCACCAACTGGCCTATAGCCATATGCAACAACTGGCCTATAGCCTGATGCAACAAATGACAGATAGCTGGATACAACTGACCTCTAGCTAGGTGCAATAACTGGCCAACAGCCAGACGCAACAACTGGACTATAGGCAGACGCAACAAGTGGCAGATAGCTGAATGCGACAACTGACCTCTAGCTTCATGCAACAACTGGCCAACAGCCAGATGCAACAACTGGACTTTAAGCAGGTGCAACAACTGGCCTACAGGCAGCTGCCCCAGCCGGCCCACTATTCGGCCGTTCCGTGACGGCCCGGCGTCGGTCGGACCGTACCTTCGTAAGCCAGATGAAAGACAGGGGACGCGAGCTTGTTGGCGTCTCCGTAGCAGTACTGCAGCCGGTAGGTGCTGCCATCTGTGTCCCGGTCCACGTCCTCGTCCTGAGAACGTTATTTTTACATACATACAGGCAGCACGCATCATGGATCCACACAGAAATTTGTTCTAAGTATGACCGAAGGCATATGCGCTACGAAATGCGCTGCTCATTCCTTGCGCCAATGTGTCCAAAATATGTCTGGGAAAAGGCACTTCACATAAAACTTTTGAGTGGCTGCATACAGTGTATGCAAGCATCCATAGTGTTCGGCGCCGCCCCGTCTGGCGCCGGCACGCAGGTAACCGAGCTCCGCGGAGCTCCGCGGAGCGCCGAACACCGCAGCGTCAGCGGTGCTCCTCAGCCGAGCACACCAGCGGCGGCCGGGAGTCGGCGTCCGGTCCCCTCCGCAGCCCACTCTCCCCCCCCCCCCCCCCCCACACACACACTCCAACCAACAATATGCCGACCAGCACACCAGCCCGTGGCGCTGACCTGGGCCCAGGTGACCAGCACGGCGCCCGGCCTCGGCTCCGTGCGCAGGCCGTTCACGGTCACGGTGCTCTCGACGCGGCCCAGCTGCCGCAGGGCGGCCAGCGCCGCCGGCGGTGCCGCCACCGGCACGTGCAGGGCCGGCCGCGGCAGACCCGACGGCGGCGGCAGAGATCTGCAGGCGGCCCGGAGAACTCGCTAAACTCGGAGGAAGTCTGGGCCGCAGGCGGTACAGCCGACCGAGTCATGTGAGGCATCCTCTTTTGAGAGGTTCTCACTGAGATAGCATTTAAGCCATTGCCAGCATGCACCATGCTGCCTCTGTGGTCTGGGGACAAACATGCTGGACCCACAATCCCACAACAATGGGTATCAGTCCCAGGGCAGGCTGGCCCAAGTGGCAGGGAAAGGTCAGCTGGCAAATAGCCAATGCAGGCTCAGGCCAAACCAGGCCTGTCATACACATTACACAGTACACAGTACACACAGCATATGACAAACAATGCACTGTACACAGTACACACCATATACAGAACACAGTATACAATACACAAATACACAGTATATAGAACACAAAGTACACAGTACTCAGTACATAGTACATATAGTACATAGCTCACACAGTACACTGTGTGCAGCATGCACAGTACATAGCTCACACAGTGCACAAGAAGATGGTATACAGTGCACAGCATACACAGTACACAACACCCAGCACATAGCACATACAGTACATAGCATACACAGTGCACAAGAAGATGGTATACAGTGCACAGCATACACAGTACACAACACCCAGTACATAGCACATACAGTACATAGCATACACAGTACATAGTATGCAGTGTACACAGTACACAGCACACATCATAGACACAGTACACAATACACACAATACATAGTACATAGTGCACAATACACAGCACACAGTATAGAGCACACACACAGTACACAGCTCCATTGAACAGATGGGTGGTGGCAAATCTATCCATCGAATGGTCCATTTATTTGGCACGGAAAGTCACAGCATGATGGCATTACTCTGAGCATAGAGCTAAGACTTCCCATAAAAACATACATGTCCTCAACTGGATCCAAAGCCTCAGGCTGGCCATCAATGCCATTGGCTGACTGAAGACTGTTCAGCACTTCTTCAGTCTTCTTCAGCTGTTCATCCACTGCCAATCTGTCAGCACCACAGCCAGATATAGTTGGGTTGACCTTTGCACACTTTTTTATTGCATGAACACACTGCACAAAGATCCAAATGGTTCATCGATTTCTGTAATTAAATGAAGTGACATGATGTACAACAACTGCAGATCAAATTTTCCCAGATATAAAATAGGTGATATTACTGCCACAAGTTTAGAATCAAGACCTTCTGTTCTAAAATGTTTTGCTATGAAACATATTTTGAAATGTTGCATAATTAGCTAATGTTATTCAGGATACTTGCCCATAATGGTCAGCTTCAGCAAGAGCCATTTTCTTCACATCCAAGATCTCTGCCAAAAGCTGAGCCTTCCGTTCTTGCACTGCCATCACCAGCTGCTGCATTATGGTTTTCATTGCTGACTCTAGTGCTTCTGCTGATTGATCTGCACTTGTGCTTATCTGGATGCACATTGTCAAAAAAATGAGCGTGCAAAACAGGATATAGACTTTGCCTTATAGGCAATGTTGGTCCAGAATGAGAAGAAATGGTGAGTGGTTGGTACTGCATGTCAATGATGTGGTTATATGTGCACTATTTTGTACTGCATAGCACACCATATACTGCCATGGGAAAAATGACAAGTTTTGCAATCATGGCCATAAACAACTTATCAGTGGATACCCCACCCAACCACCATTGAACAGGGTCAGGACATGCCTTTAAGGGACCCAAACATACACCAAATTACCAAGAATTCCCACCGATAAGGCCCCAAGGCCAGAACAAACTCAATACACTGTCAACAAACAAGCATAGCAAAAGCATGTCAACATGTCTCACCTGCAGTCTTGTCTCTTTTAACTCCTCTTTGTACATTTCCAGGGAACCTTTGTGATCTTGTAAACTGGAGATTGTTGGTGCATCACGGCCGGCATCCATATCAGTCACTAAAAGGGGCATGTTTCCAACACAGGACAGGAAATTATTGCGGTACCACTGGACCACCCACTCTGATAAACTGGATGAAGGGTAAGCACTGTTTTACAAGATCACAAAAAACAATGGTGACCTCATCAGAATGGATATGCGACTGGTGCCCGCTTCTCGATGTAACACAATCTACATCCACAAACTGTCATTGCCGCCTCTCATCGGCCTTGATCGGCGTCCCGTATAAACTAACATCCCCATATCGCGTCACATAGATAAACATATGCAACAAGAGCGCAGGATTTGGCGAGACCAACCGCCCGATCCTAATCTGTTCGTCCACCTACTTTTCCTTGCTACCGGTGAATAGCTACAAAAAAGGAACCAATCACCACCGCGCCCCTTCCAGAAGAGGCTAATGTGAGGTCACCATATTGTTCGTGGCGACACTGCAGCGGAGCAACAGGCAAAAGTGCAGCGAGCTGGGCCGTGCCGTGTCGTACTGCACTCAAGTGGCTCATGTCCCTGTTAGACATTTCCAGTTGCTAGCGCATGGCGATTGGCGTCTGGTTAATCGTCTGGCTTCATCGCTCTCAAAATGTCTAAATTTGTTCACGACCCCTCCCCCCTGCAACAAAGCACGTCACCTGATGTCCGCCTCCCGACTTGCGGGTCTACCACCGTTCACCTCACCGTTCTCTCGTCTCGCAGCAGAAACACACATCAGTTAGCAGCTCTGTATTGTGAAGTGCGATCAACGAACCACATGACATGTTAAAGGAATCGCAAGCGCGTGGAACACGGGAGTGGCCGGCAGTGTACGCGTCAACGACGCCAGCGGCGGCGGCGGCGGCGGGCCAGGCCGGGGCGGGCGTGGCCGATCAGCCCTTGAGAGAGGAGAGACCAGCTCGCATAATCTCGTCCACCAGCAGCAGGTTGCCGGCGATCACCGCACTGCGAACACACATGAGCAGTCAGCTCCAGAACACAGTCAGAACACAGCCAGGCGCTGTCAATTACAAGCATGCACAGTGCTATGGACACAGGACCAGCCTCAATTGGCAGTCACAGCACAGGCATTGTACAGTCAGTTATGGTCACATACTGACTTCTAGATCCTCCTGCAATTCCCCATATTGTATATGGCCTGCAGTAACATTTGGCACCTGCTGGATATTCAGACAAAAAATGGCTCTGGGCTACTGCTGCAGGGGTATAACATCTGCAAACCCACCCTGATAAAATTAAGCCTTTTAGGCATTTGCAACAGCAAACGCAACATTCCTGCCCATACATGGCCGACCACATCCTCACACATAGACGACCCTAGTACTTGCAAAATTCACGGGAAATGGCTAAACACGTTATATGAACTGACCAGCATTCACGGACCGTATCTCAGTGGCCCGGCTAAGCGCCTCCCAGCACGGCGCGGCGGCCCGTGCCTTCACCACACCTCCCCCGGGCGGTCCTCGGCCGCCGCCGCACTCACCAGGAGTTGATCATCTGGTGTTTGACGCAGAAGTTGTCAAGGATGCCGGCGTCGGCCGGCACCAGCGCCTCGCCGCTGCCGATGTCCAGGCCGACGGGCACGCCGGCCGACGCGTACTCCTCCTGCAGCTTCACGATGGTGTCCTGCGCGCCGCCGGCCGGCGGTCAGCTCGAGCACCGGGGGAGGGAAAGGGGGGGGGGGGGTACCGGCCGTCCCACCGGCCCACAGGTGTCTGACCCAACAAGAACACCGCTCCACCCTGACCGTAAGAGATGATAGTTCCCCAGCAAGGGGTACCACAGGACCCCGAGCAACCCACAGCTGCATCTCAGCTTCGTTGACGAAATTAGCAAAGACACGACACAATAAACGACGCAGAAGAATTAACGAATATGTCACGCCCGGTCCACTTCCATGTAGCATGTAGTCCAGTGTCCGGCTACGCAAAGCGCCTCGGCCAGCGGCTCGTTTATAAGCTGCGTACCGTGTTAGGATTTGCCATTCATATGGTCTGTATGAAAGTCTGGCGTAACTTTCACGTTTAAGCATCACGGCCGCATTTAAGGCCATAACATTTCATTGCGGTGACCCAAACCAAAACGGTAAAGGCGCAATAGTTACATTGTTCAGCAAACTTTCAAACTCAAATCAGCGCCGCGAAATAAAATTACTCCAGGTCAAAGAAACCGCTAAACCAGACAGAAATGATTTCAGCATACCCAAACCTTTGGACTGAACGCATCCCACGTGACCCTCCCACCACGTTCACAAAAGCCGTCCGCCCCGCACCAGCGCACCAGCAGCGGCCACCTGCCGCCGCTCACCTGCGCGTCGTAGCCGGCGTTGACGGCCAGCGTCTTGGGGATGACGAGCAGGGCGTCGGCGAACGCCTGCACGCCGAGCCGCGCGCGGCCGCGCACCTCCTGGCGGTAGCGCATGAGCGCCGCGTGCGCCGCCACTTCGAACGCGCCGGCGCCCGGCACCACGGCGGCCGTCGTCCAGCGCGTTCTTGATGGCGCGCAGCCCGTCCCGGATGGCGTCCTGGGCGGGGCAGGCGTCGGGAGCGAGGGTCAGTCCACAGGCGTGGGTCGGAGGGCGAGGTCGTGGGCCGGGGGGGGGGGGGGGGGCTGGGGTCAGGCGTCGGATGCGGTGGAGGATGGGGCACAGGCGGCACCAAGCGGCAGCGGCTGAGGAGGCTCGGGGAGTCATAGTCCTTCGGCGACTTTGGAGCTGGACGGCGCTCAATGCAGCATATTAAGGCAACAAATTGCCATAAAGTTATGTCCAAAAGCAGCCTCAACTCAAGAGCTGATGTGCACACTTCATTGAGACAAGTATCGAAATCGACATAAACTTCCACTACGACAGGAACCCAAGGTCATCTCTAGAAAAACAAAACAAAAATAATTCCCGCCTCTAAAACGCCGCAAACCACCACATGACGGTATTCTAGGCGAGCTGTCTCGCCCCTCGTACGGCGACAAACACAAGCGGCAACACAAGCTATTATGCTTGGTGCAGCATAATAACTTGACCTGTACCGATCATATAAGATGCAGGTCAATCCTCAAGTCCAGCCTACCTTGAACTGGTCCAGGGTGTACTTGTTAGGCGCCTTGATCAGGATGGTGACCGACTGCGGGTTGCGGCACTCCTCCACGAACGTGAACTTCTGCTCGCCCTGTTTCACACACCATCAAGCCACGGGTCAGCGACGAGTACACGCAGAGGCACGCCGGTCCAGGGATGTGGACAGCCACAGAAGTGACCGCGACTGATGCAGCCTCCGCAGTTATTCCCTATTGAAGGACCTGCCGACGCTGTTTCAAATTCCTTTCATCTTTTATCGAAGGAACGCCACGCATTTTACCAACGTCAGCTTACTGAGCGCCCCCGACTACGGGAGCCACATTATCACCACAAGACTAGGGCGTCAACCGAGAACCGAACACGGGACGAGAGATCCCGCCACGTTAGCCACTCGGCCATCACCCCGCGCCCGCAGCGTGGGGACAGAACCATGCCAAGCACGCACACCGACCTCGCTCCAGCACCACCGGACCCCTCAGCGGGGCGACGCGCGGCCGCCGGCCGGCCTCTGACTGACCAGCACGTGCTCGTAGACGAGCCCGGCGTATCCGAGGCAGTCTTCGGTCAGGTCGTCCAGGGAGTTCATGGCGGCACCGCCGCACGCCAGCGCCAGCCGCTCCATGTTGCGGCGCTTGGCGCGGCGCAGCGCCACGATACCCTCGCGGGCCAGCATGTCCAGCGACACGGGGTCGATGCCTGGCGACAGCCGGGTCCGGTCAGCTCAGGTCAGCTCAGGTCAGGTCAGGTCAGGCTCCGCGGGCCCGGTGAGACAGCACCGCCTCTCGTGGGCAGGTCAGGTCGTATCGGAGCCGGCGAGCAGCGGCGCAGGATCAATACCCGCTGGCAGCTTAGGTCAGATCACATCAGGTCTGGTCAGGTCAGATCAGGGAAATTAGCGTCACCACACACAAGAACAACTGGACAGGCAGCCGCCATCCCGTCGGCACCAGTCGGAGGAGGTAACATCAGTACTATGTGGCAACAGTACGCTGGACCAGACCAGGAGCACAGCAGGAGGCGGAGGCGGTCTCGTGACTTCCGCACCATGAGCCACAATCAACGCACGCAGCTGCAGCTGCCAAATCAGCACCAGCGACGGTCACCGAGAACGAGGTCGCCTTGGCAGGTGGTGCGAGCGGCACATCACAATCCGCTCACCTCCGTCATGTCCAGATCCGCACTAAGGGAGCCATTCCGCCCAGCCCACGACCACACTCTTCCACGTGCACCACGGACAGCACACATCCGGGCCTGGTGACCGTCCTCTCCCTCTCTCCCTCTCTCTCCCCCTCTCTCTCCCCCTCTCCCTCTCCCTTCTCCCTCTCCTCTCTCCCTCTCCCTCTCCCTCTCCCTCTCCCTCTCCCTCTCCCTCTCCCTCTCCCTCTCCCTCTCCCTCTCCCTCTCCCTCTCTCCCTCTCCCTCATCCCTCTCCCTCTCCCCTCATCCCTCTCCCTCTCCTCTCCCCTCTCCTCTCCCCCTCTCCCTCTCCCTCTCCCTCCCTCTCCCTCTCCCTCTCCCTCTCCCTCCTCTCCCTCTCCCTCTCCTCTCCCTCTCCCTCTCCCTCTCCCTCTCCCTCTCCCTCTCCCTCTCCTCCCTCTCTCTCTCCTCTCTCCTCTCTCTCTCTGGCTCCTCTCTCTCATCTCTCTCTCCTCTCTCTCTCTCTCTCTCTCTCTCTCTCTCCTCTCTCTCTCTCTCTCTCTCTCTCTCTCCACCCACCCACCAGACAACCACCATGCCCGTCCCCAGCACTTGTTGGTTTTTTTTCTTTGTTTGTTTTTGGATTCGAGGCCTTTCGACCAGAAATAATCATTTCAGGGCTATGAAATGAACGAAAATGGTAAATGGTGGGGCAGGCTTGCATGCGCCCGGGGGGCCAACCGCCGAGTTTTAACCCGCGCATGCGCGCTGGATACCCGGTCAGGGTTGCCCTTCCCGCGGGGCGCTCGGCCCACTCGTGGGTGACGCATGCAGCCTGTCCTGGACAAGCAACGTGTTGCGCGGACGCAGGATGAAGCAGGATGAAGGGTAAGAGGGACGGATCCCCGTCCGCAGAGCCTCACCCTTCTGGTTGATGACGACGAAGTTCTTGTCGGTGCCGTCGCACAGCTGCTTCTTCAGGGCGATCACCTTGCGCACGCGGTTGTCGATGAACTCGCGCTCTGCCCGCACC